CTTGATTACCGTGTAGACATTTGTCGTGTCACCGGAGGGGCACATATTGAACACCTGTAGAAACTTGAATAAATGTAGTTTTGAGGTAAATTTGAATTTTCTAAATACATTAATTATAACGTTTACAATCATGTTTTCTTTTTGTCCCATTCAATATGAAACACCCTGTATTTGGTAGGCAGGTTGGTACTTTATTTACGTCTCACTAGTCTACTAATCTAAGTTAAATATAATATTTTGGTAGGTAGGTTGGTACTTTATTTACGTCTCACTAGTCTACTAATCTAAGTTAAATATAATATTTTGGTAGGTAGGTTGGTACTTTATTTACGTCTCACTAGTCTACTAATCTAAGTTAAATATAATATTTTGGTAGGTAGGTTGGTACTTTATTTACGTCTCACTAGTCTACTAATCTAAGTTAAATATAATATTTTGGTAGGTAGGTTGGTACTTTATTTACGTCTCACTAGTCTACTAATCTAAGTTAAATATAATATTTTGGTAGGTAGGTTGGTACTTTATTTACGTCTCACTAGTCTACTAATCTAAGTTAAATATAATATTTTGGTAGGTAGGTTGGTACTTTATTTACGTCTCACTAGTCTGCTAATCTAAGTTAAATATAATATTTTGGTAGGTAGGTACTATATTTAAGTTTCACTAGAATTACATAATGGTCTACCGGCGACGGTCTGGTAAACGGTCTGGCCTGAGGATGATCCGAAGACATGCCATCGCAATTTTGATCCTCTGCAGAGGGGATGACTCCCCTGCCTAGGTAGCACTTAACGATAGAACAGTTTAACGAGGATCGATACTTCTCACTGATCAAAGTGGTCACCCACCCGCATGCTGACAGCAACCAGTGATGCTTGACTTCGATGTTCTACTCGATCAGTCCACTGCGGTACATACTAATTTGGAGATTAGTTACAATAACATTGAAAATGTCTCCTTCGGTTAATGAGTTCCTTTTCAATGGTTATTATTTAAGCAAGTTGTCAACAATTAGAAAGTACTTCTTTGAGGAATATTTTTCAGATAAAAAATAATAATTTTTTAATGAAAAAAAGGGAAAATACTTTTATTTTTACACTTAAAAAAGAAAATCGATTTAGCTGTTCATATTTAAAAAACTATAATTCAACTAAAGGACGAATTTTAAATTGCATACTATTATTCATGAAAAGGATCTAAAAACCAGAACTTTACAAACTTATTTTTATTACTTACAAAATAACAAACATTAAATTGCCTGAAATGGAATAATTTTTTTAATTTCATCCTTCATCTCGTTTACCTCGAAATTTTTTTAAAATATAATACCAAACAGTTTTTAAAAAAATGGCTTTTTAACTTTTTTTAAGTCAAGGACAGATCTCGTATAGATTTTAGATTTGGTGACATTGTTGTGAAATGATAAAGTTTCAAATTATATAAAAATATGTATACCTTAAAATTCAAAATTGTTTCGAACATTATTAAATAAAGTAATAAACATTTATTCAAAACCATTTTTTAACTTTTTGGATAAAAAATTTTAGAATTGTGTGCAAAAAAGTTATGATTTGCATGAAAAGTTTCCGAAATATGGGGAAATACGCAAAAAGTGATTCTGATTGAAAACATATTATTGTGGCTATCATCCACGCTTCAAGAATCCACCATTCACGAAAAGTATATAGTCGGACTTTTATTTAACGAACTTCGAATTTTGGAATTTTTTTCGAAGAACGTTTTGGAAATATCTTCGTAGAATAACATCCAAATAGTGAAGTGAATTTCCTATTTAACGAACTTTTCATTGAAATTCCCTTTCCTTATTTTCCAAAATATTTCAGAACATTTCAAACTTTTTAACGCATTTTATGGGGGAAATTACCTTGAATTAATTTATGTAATGTTTCACTACTTTCTCTAAAAGTTATTTTAGAGCAAGCAGTAAAATCAGTAACAATTAAACTTAAGAACGCACGTGGCAGTGTATGTTTAAAATTACAGTGAAACTTCTCCTAAAGGCCACCTCTACTTAAGGGCCACCTCTATTAAGGGCCAATATTTTGAGGAACGAAAATTTTCCCCATAGACATAATGTTAATTTTCCTCCCATTAGAGGGCCACATTTTCCTGACTACCTCCAATAAAGGCCATTTTTNACGCACGAGGTAATGTATGTTTAAAATTACTTTTATAATAAATGCAGGCATAATTTAATACATAAATTTAGCTTTTTTTTGTTGAAAATGTATGTAGTATGATAGTGTAACACTGGATAATGTTTTGCTCTATTCTTGCTTTCCATGCAGATTTCTTTTAAGGTTAAGATTTATAAAATAAAAAGTTGATAATAGTTTACAAGATAAAGGTGCATCAATCTCTATTTTAATTATGCCTAGTGTTTATGAATTTAAAACCTGTTTTGTGTTGTTTAAGTATTTTAAAAGGTGATTTTCTATTTAACGAATTTTCCATATAACGAACTTATTATCGGGATTTAGCGACTTCGTTAAATTGAGGTCCGACTGTACATGTTTTCGCGTCATATGTATGCGTGAAAGTATATATGTTGCGTAAAATATTGTCTGTATTAGCACCTAAGTACGTAAAAATCCGATCATTAGAACAGAAGTTATTAAAAAGTTAATTTCAATTCTTTCAGGGGATAACTTTTTTTCCCACTATTTTGTTAGACGTATATAAACATGTATGAAAGAAACACTCACACAACTTTCATTTTATTAACAAAAGTTTTGTTAACATTTTTGAAATACAAGTCTACGGTATCAACCATCATAATGCTTGCATTTAATATAGTTAAACTGAATTTTACTTTGATACAAATATCTCTATTTTGATTTCTTTCAAAATCTAGTTCACATTCAATAATTTTATTAACAAAAGTTTTGATAACATTTCTGAAATGTAAGTCTACAGGATGAACCGTCATACCCTCTACTGCTTTCGTGTAATATAATTTAAAAAATTTTACTTTGATACAAATATCTCCATTTTGATTTCTTTCAAAATCTAGTTCACATTAAACAATTTTATTAACAAAAGTTTTGATAACATTTCTGTAATGTAAATCTACAGGATGAACCGTCATACCCTCTACTGCTTTCGTGTAATATAGTTAAAGCAAATTTTACTTTGACACAAATATCACTATTTTGATTTCCTTCAAAATCTAGTTTACATTCAATAATTTTATTAACAAAATTTGTTAACAAGTTTTGATAACATTTCTGAAATGTAAGTCTACAGGATGAACCGTACTGCTTTTATGTAATATAGTTAAAACAAATTTTACTTTGAAACAAATATTTCCATTTTGATTTCCTTCAAAATCAAGTTTACATCTAAAATTGTTAGATGTTATGTTTGGTTCTTTTATAAAATACAGTAATGAATGAAAAATGAATTTGTTTTTATATCTACTAACTTTTACAATTACAGCCAATAATAAAATTATGAAATTAGCCGCTTTTTAAAATCAAAGAACGGAATCGTTGCAATATCACAACAATGATAAATCAAAGCTTGTTTAAAATAATTGTTTCTTTTGTTTTTGTTTGAATAATTAGAATTTTCTATTTTCTTAAGGTTTGAAGCAATATAAAAAACGAACAAAAAGTGCGAAGTTATAGCGTTTATGAGAAATTGAAGGGTGAGAAAAAAAATAATAAAATAAGAAGTAAGAGGAATTCTAATAAAACAGTTTAAGAATTAATAAAATTTATAGAATGCTTATTATCATTCCATGTCAATGATTATCACGCATTCAATAAGGCATATCTATCTTCAATAGATGTCAGAAAAGCGTAGAATACTTTAAAATAAACAATTTTATAACAAAGAAATATTTTAAGTTGCAAAATCTTTTACAAGTATTCATTTCAAACTATGTTGAATTCTTAATTTTAAATTTTGTTAATCAAACAAATATGATAATATCTTCAAATCTTTCAGTAAATTAAAAAAAAATTGGCAAATGTTTAACTAAAATATCATATGTAGATTCAGCAAAAATAAAATGAATATATAGTTATCAATTTAGCTTAAAGTGCATTTGTAAATTTTAACTTTTTTCCTAAAAACAAGCATTCTGGTTTCAGCTACTTTATAAAATGAAATGCTCTCAGAACGTGATTTTAATTATATTTACTAATTAAGTAATAGATGCCAGAAAAGCGCATAATATTTTGAAATAAAATTTATAACTAAGAAAAAAGAATTAATACAAGTTACAAAAACTTTTATAAATATTCATTTTTAACTACTGTCCTTGCCTAAATTATTAGACGCACTATAAGATTCTTTGCAAAATCTTAATTATCAGGTAATACTATACAGCTTAATTATTTTTACGGGACTGAACCGGTTTGCACTTGTTTACGTTCGTGTATCAGTTGATTAAATTAGGCGATATATAATATAAATCCGACGAATGGATAAACTAGACGACATATTATCTAAATATAGAATATTCATTACATCAGATATTATATTATTATATTGTAATAATTAGATCAAATTATGAGACTCACTGAAGTTTTTTAATAATTACATGTTTTCCACGAGTTTATAAGCAATACTTTTATATTTAAGCATATATGTATTCGGGAGATTTTTTATATACTTCCTATTTGTATTTATTTTGAACGAATTGTATTACAATGTTAACCAACTGATACACGAATAAGTGCAAACTGGCAATGTCAAAAGAATAAAGCTGTATAGTATCACCTGGTAATTAAGATTTTACATAGAATCTTATGTTTCGCCTACTAATTTGGCCTGGAAATGTATGTTGAATTTTTAGTTTTAAATTTTGCTAATCAAACAAATGTGATAATATGTTAAAAACTTATCGGCTAATGTTGAAAAATAAAATGAAAATGCAGTTTTTCCTAAATGCAAGCACTTTATAAAATGATTTTAATAGAGAAAAAAGATTTGAAAGTGATGATAAATTTAAAAGAGCAGTCACTTCCTTTCTTGGGAGTCAGTGAAATGAAATAAATAAAAGGGGTGGTTAAATATAACTTCTCTTTCCTCCTCAACGGTCAGTCTTTCTAGAGACTTCAACTGCTGGGTCAAAGTTTTCCCTTCCTTCTTACACGGTATGTACCTTCATATTTATTTAATCATTTCAATGCCTATTTCTTAAAAATGTTTATTTAAATGTTTGCTTCTTTTGTTAAAGCAAAGTCTTGTTAAAATTTCAAAGCAGTAATCTGAAATTAAAATTTGCTGAGATTACAAAAAAAGTGGCTCGCTTATTTTTCAAAAAACTTTTTTTTTATTGTGTTTCCAAGTAATAAGATCAAATAAAAAGAAAACGATACTAAACATTTGGGTATGTTGAACATTTTGCTTAAAAATTCCAGAGGATATTAGACTACATCCATAATTAAATATCATTTTTTGAAGATATTGTATTTTCCATCTTTAATATTCTTTATTTTTCAAGCATTTTTTTACTGCACTGAATGTTTAACACTAGATTGCCCAAGGAAGTAATTTTGACTGCTTTTTCATTTACAAAAAATGTACAAACAATAATGCATAAATTATTTTTTTCCAAGTGAAGTAATTTTTTTTTATTATTAATATTTACTTATAACTTGCTACATAACTGTAAAAAATATAAAAAATAATAAAAACTAATTAAGCAAATTTCTTTATACATTAGTTATTCTTTCACAATGCAGTCATTTTGACTGCTTTTGGGAAATATAGGTATATACTAAGTTAGTCTAGTGTTAATAATTTCTGTTCGTTTTTATTCTCCGTATCTTTTACTAATTATGAACAATTTTCTTATATAGAGTTCTATACAAATTCCAATTAAAACAGTTTTTCCATCCCTAAATAATAATTAAGGCAAAATTTTACAGTAGCTGTACACTACTAGTTCTTTAAATAACATGGAGAAAATTGGAGTTTTGGTGCAGGGACTAATATTTTAAGGGATAAATTATTTTATTCTCGCATCTAATCTACCAGAGTAAGAGCCGAAGCACGACATGCATATCGGGACACAAAACAAGAATTTTGCTTTGACATATTAGGTGGCAAATATTTGTAAAACAGAAAAAAAAGATAATTTACACACACGCCTATTTACTTAAGGTAAGAGAAGGTTGCACGAAATAGTGACTCCATTTAATTAAATTATAATAGGACAAAAGTTGGGAGCCTAACACCGACTAACATCAAACCGAGTGTACTTTTTCATTTCATAACGTTTGAGCTAATTTTTGTAAAAATTGTAATCTGCATCATAGTTCATGCATAATCACAAAACTATTACAGATATTCCAAGAATATAAGCATTAGTGTTTCTGATATAAAACATGACATATAAGTTAAGTTAGAGATAAAAAGAATTTTTTTTCTATAATATACAGTATTTCTGAAAATATTTATGATATGCGCAATAATAATAATCTAATAAAAATCAAATCGTAATTTTTTTACTATAATAAATATTAAAAAGATGACCGTTGCACAGTAGTCATAAAAATAAATGCTTCACCCATTTTCGGCCAAACGTCCGTAAATGCACCACTTAAATAAATATTTTTTATTAACACTGCGACGCATATTTTTTACTAACTTTATTTTTCTGCTACTCTCAAGGGTTCTGAAGAGATCTTTAAAATATTAGTAATTCAATTATAGTAAGCACTTTCTGTTGACAAATTTTTTAACAACGCTAGTGTCTTAATTTGAGACGATTATTGACAAATTTGACTTTTTGAAAATGTATAATTTATCCATTTGAGATTAATCATATGTTTTTATGACGGATAAAAGTTGAATAAAATAAAAAACAAACTTTATATATATAAAAAAACTAATGTTAAACTAAATGGTTTGTCCATTCATTTGAACAATGGTGCTACCATTTTATTTCTTAAATAAAATATTATTTACGTAACTTTTTTTTGTGTTTTAATGAATGCATTTCAATGAAAATTATTCGATAATTTCTATGCTTGGCCTAAAATGCGCTAAAATGTCAATGTTTACAAAAAGAAATTTCTTATCTTTCATTTACCTTTCTTTTTCAAAATAGATTTAATGTCAATGTTCAAAATATTTCTTGTACATAACCAATGTATTTCAAAATTAAAATAAATTCGAGATAGAGGGATGTTTTGAAAAGTGTAAAAGAAGAGGAAACGGGAAAGAATATTTCTTAAAATCTCTACTTGACCCCTCAAGTCTTGCACCATCCTCACACGCAGCTGTGGGGGTTATCCAAAACTGATCGAGAATGTCACGAGGATAATGGGTAATCTCACCCTGATAAACTCTGACTATAATTAAGTTAAAATTTAATACTACACTGTAAATATTTTGAAGTAAATTTTGTTTACAAATTATTTTTTTCCAAGCAAAAGGGCACATTTTGGTTATTCATGATCTTGACACAGCCAAAACAATTGTGTTTACAAGTAAAAAGAAATGTTTAAATTGGACGGTTGCTTTATAAAATATGGCAGTAATATATATAAATTATATATATGTATTATATTTTTCGAAGAAGCAATTTAGTTTTTGGATGCATGCTTAAAAAAGTAACTTACGAAACCTCGTTAACAAAAAATAGAGTAAAGCTATTTTTTTATCCTTAAAATAATTTTTTTCACGTATTTAAGAATTTTTTGATATTTTTATGAAATATAACTGCAACTTAAAGCCTTTTTCTTGAACGTGAACTATAGGATTATTTTACGCAAAGTTTGAAACGCTTCACAAAATTTTTTTTATTTAGGACAATCTTAAAAATGAATGAAAAATGTTTTTCTAGTGTTAATTTTAAATAGAAAAGTGTATTGCATAAGAAGTGAGTGCAACTATCAAAAGAATTAAGCGTCTGTTATTTTGAGAGGCGATTAAAGTGTTGCACGCTTGTTGGCAAACACATGTATGATGCAATACTGGTGACTGTAATATGAACACCCAAATAACTATACATTGCAGCATAGTTTTTTGAATGGAATGGTAAAAAACATTTCAAAAATACCTTTTGTCGTAATAACCAACCTAAGATTGAAGAAATATAAAAAATAAGTGAAGTCCTCTAAGTTAGTCTTTACATAGTTAGTCATTTGTTTGTATATAAGCTTTTTATGCAAGTTGAAAGAAAGGAAAAAAACGGACTATTTTAAATGAAAAGAATGTTCACTTCCAAATAAGATATGCTAATTAATTAGTGTAGGTACAAAAACGCACTTTCTCTCAACGGACTCCAAAGATATAGTTGTAGCGCTCGTTAATCTAAATTTTACTTTTTTCCTTAGATCTCATATAAGTGAATTTTTGCACAGAACTATAAGATTTAAAGATGATTCTATGCAAAAAAAATTTCAAGTAAATATTTATTACTTTTATTACTATACTCATTAATTAGAATAAATTATGAACTGTAAGATATAAAGTTCCTCGCGTCATTTCAAAGAATGCAATTTTACACGGAATACACAATTTGAGTGACTTCGATCGAATAGTTCTTGAGAAAATCACTTTTAATCAATTCAATCAATCGATTACCTACTGAATGTAATACCGAATGGTAGGTATTACATATGTTGAAAATGATATATGAGTAAAAGGACGCAGTGATCAAAACCAAAGTTATTGGACAAATGTTTTAAAAAAGTTGTTTCGACTGTTGAAACAAAAATGAAATAATTTCCTTCGTGCGTTTGGTGTACAGTGGGGCATGAAGTGTGTGCACAAAAAGGTTAGTTCCCATTTCCTAATAAGAAGCATTGCAAAAGTTTTATTTTGGGTCATGAAGTTTGCCAACTTGAATTTATTGAGAAGTATAAATCTTTCAACACAACAGATTTAGGAAATTATCACAGCACCTGAAGATTCCTTTTAGATTTAAAAAATAAATCTAAAATATTATTCAGAGGAGAAACAGAAAAATCATTTCTAAACTTACTGAACTATCAATCTATGGATAAATAAAGAAAAGAAAATTCATGACTTTCAAAAATTTAAAATAATATTCCTTAACTAACTGAAATTTTGAAAAATAAGTAATTTGAAAAGCAGGAATTCTGAATTTCTGAAAACTTGCTTATCTATTGTCACATTTCACTTAAAAGGACAATTTTAGTTCAAATAAGAACAAAATCTACCTTAATTGTATACATATTAGTCTCTGGCCAAATTATTAGACGCACTATAAGATTCTCTTAATTATCAGGTCATACTACACAGCTTTATTGTGTTTGCACTTGTTTACATTCGTGTATTAATTGGTTAAATTAGACGATATATTATATAAATATAGAATATTATATTATATTAGTATATTATAATAATTAGACCAAATTATTAGACTCGCTGTAGTGTTTTAATAATGACATGTTTTGCACGAGCATGTATGCAATAATTTTATATATAAACATATATGTAATGGGTTTTTTATATACTTCCCATTTGTATTAATTTTTAACGTCTTGCATTACAATGTTAACCGGACGTAATTAAATGCAAATGCCACTTAAAAACAATAAAGCTGTTTAGATAACTAAGATTTTACACATCTAATAATTTGACTGTTGATTAAGCCGCATTTTTAGAGAATGCAAATTATAAAGACTCTGCTGCATTCTTTTTCATGCTGAAAAAATTGGCACAGAAGAGAACACATCTCTTTTTACACTATAATCAAGATGACGTCAATAGAAGCTTTTAATATACTCTGGCATATTGACAAGCAAAGTATTCATTCCTATGTATTACGTTAAATTGTATGAGATCAATTGAATAGAGTTTGAAGAGGTCTTTAAAAACATTTTGTACACCGTTTGTCAGCCATTGTTTCTTACTTATTTATTTAAGTTAAAATCGCTAGAATCGAAAATTAACAATAGAACTAATAGCTGTGAAAGTTAAAAAGTATCATTGAAAATTATATTTCTTAGTCGTGAAACTCTTCTAAACAATTGGACCTGATTTCATTTGATTCAACGTAAAAATTACGTTGGATCTTATACTTGTATAGCATTGTAAATAAGTTCAGATAAGTTATAAGTTATAAAATACATAGGCTTGTATACTTCGCTCACTTGTATAGCATTGTAAAAGGTAAGAAGTACAATAGTGAACTTTTTAGGCATAAAACTTTAATAACTTTTGAACAAATAGTCTTGTATACATCGATTTCATTCAAATAAAGATAAAAATTACACAGAAAATCATTTGTCTAGATAGCTATTTCAGGCAAGGAAATAATCAAAAATTGTATAGTTCAAATATCCCTTTTAATTTTTGAGCAATTAGATTTTGGAGTCATTAGATTGAACAGAAAAGGGGAACTTGTTTATTTTTTTTAAATGGCGGGGACTTGGGGTTTGTCCCATTGGCCACAGAAATGCCAGAACTGCTACTCTCTTCTCGTGTGGCGAAACCACGGTGGTGGAGCAGCGTCGCCCACGCCACACAACCACAAACCCGTTTATAGCTCGGGTCACATTCACACAAAGAGGAAAGGACATAGAACACCGAGAGAGAAAGAAACATTCATGCTCTGAGCAGGATTCGAACTCAGGGCCAATGCCTCCGCAGTCAAACACGCTAACCACTCGGCCACCTGGTCGGCGAAAAAAGGAACTAAATAGCAATAATTTTGACCCCCTCAATAAATGCTAGGGTTAACTTCCAAGGAAAAGGCAAACTTCAGAAATCACAAATGTTAATACAGCTTCTCCCCTAGTATTTTCACATTCTTATGTAAGAAATAAAGAAAATTTGCAGACTCGGTCGATTATCTCTACAACTATGAGACTGATTTTAATGAAATTTGATACAATACAAAACAAATAACGTACATTGATACAATACAAAACAAATAATCATTCAACAATTGTAATACACACGCATGTTCGTGCATAGTACTTATTGGATTTGGAAGGTATGAAATTGCCACAAGACTATTCTGCCACAGGAAATGATGTATTTCAAGTATGGTATCACGCTACAAGGTCTGTAAGAGGGGACCCTATTAACCCATTTTTGTTGTTGTTTATTGTGCAACTGCTGTTTCTTACCTTCCGACTCCAACCAATGTTACGCACTCTTCTGTATAACAGTTGCTGAATAATTACTTGTTTTGTATTTTATCAATGTATGCACAGATCAAATGTTTTTAAAATCGGTTCTAGAGATTTCTTACTCCAGTGTACTTTGGATTTGACCTATAGTTGTCAGAGGAAGTAATTCAAACTACATAGTCGGAATTTCTGATGAAATCAATGTTCTTGCTTTACGGATCTTATATTAGCTAATTAACGCGGGATGTATTTCCTCATTTTCAACGAATTTCTGGCTTCTTTTAGTCGCTATCTGCCAAATCATTAAAATAAATAATTTTTTGTATTTATTTATAAAATACTTATTTATTTAAAAACATTTATGAAAATGATGACTGATAATTTATTATTGTTTAATTATTTAACTAAAAAGAGCCTGAAATTTTTTGGAATATTTAACGTCTAAAATTACAATGACTAATTCGAAAATTCTAGCCAAATTGGTTACGGAGATTTTGAAACATAAAAGTTTTTTTTGAATAAAACTAAGAATGAAGCAGGTACAAAGGAACTTTGAAAATATGTAGATAATGTATATTTTGTATCGTAACTATCGCCTGCATTTATTGATTAGCAAATTTTAGGTGGCCTCATTAAATCATTAAATGCCTTCAATTTCGATTCATTGAAAAAATCTGTTTTATACATTTAACTGTCCTTTGAATTGATCAGTATTTTAGAAATAATGTTTCATTTAGTAAATTAAGTAAATTAAGTCTCACGCGAATATTTCAAATAAATTCGAATTGGAAAAAGTACTTATACTGGTAAATATTTCGAATAGTCGTGCATAACTGGTTTTCACGGTGTTTTCATTAACTGCGAGTTTCTTAGTGAATTATTTGCAGTGTATCATATTTAGGGACTCTATAGGTATAAGCCTAAGTTTTTAAACCAAATTGCTCCTTAGTATTGTTTCCACGTAAGTAGTTTTCATGTCACTACTTCTAGATAACAGCACACAGATGCAATCGTTGTCACCAAAAACACTCTCCTGAACAATTTTATAATGGGGCCTAAGATTTTATGTACAAGTTTTTACCTCTACTTTTAACGTTAATTAAGTTTTTAAAAAAAACGTTTCTACGCAAAAAAAATGTTCGAATCAGATTGGTACAAATCCTTCTCGGGCCCGTTAACGTACACAATGAGAATGTTTCTGTGGCCGAGCGTTAAGATCTAAGTCTGATGCTCAGAAAAATCGGTGCTTTAAAGAGCAAATTCGTAAAAAGTGCTTTAGAATAAAAAACTATTTCATACAAACATGAATTAAAACTTTTTAATATCACCTCCTATTTAACCAAGCCTATTTTTAATTGAAAATCATTTTGAACATTGATGAAGTTCTTCCGTTAAGTTTGTCTTCTAAAAGTGGCGAAGTAGTGACTACATTTCAAAAGTAGTTTGCAGTCGTATATTTAAAAAAAAGACAATTGTAATAAAGAAGCTGTAGTTAACTACAAAGAAAATGTAATATTCCTCCAGAATTTGAATAATGATACGCAAAAGGTGTGTGAAAACAAATATCAAGAAATGAATGCTGCCACCATTTAGGACAAACACTTGAAACCGAGCAGACAAATTCTATTCCAGAATCTAGCACTGCCACGATAACTTAATTTGTACACATTGTATAAACTTTATTTTATTGGTAGTAAAAAAATAATTGATAAACGCTTGAAATAATATACAGTTTATATTCGTGTTCATAAATGTTATATTTTTGGAAAAATATGTCACTATTATTTATTAGTTGGAAACATAATCAATTGAGTCATTAATCAAATCTATTTTTTACAGGACAGGAATATGGCTGACGACGAAGATCATGACGTTAAGTAAGCGTTTGTTACTTGAAATTCATTAACTAAAATTATAATATAATTTACTATCTTGATATGTATCGTATATTTTAAATGTATACCATTATCACCAGAAATATTTAAATTCATGAAAAAAATTATTAATATTAGCAAGTTCAAGCTTAAGTGTAAGAATGATTCAGACAATACAAAGAGCCCTTTTAGCAAAATAACGTGGGCCCTAATTGGACCAATAGTCATGAATCTTTGCTCAGTAAAGACTCAAAGGGCCTTTGCAATATTGGCCCTATATAGAATTTTTCGAATCACCCGATATTTTACAGCCATTTTACAGCCAATATTAGTCCTATATAGAATTTTCAAATTCTACCGATATTTCGTATACATAATGTAGGTTCAATTTTGGCCAATGTAGGCCCTATATAGGTCAATCTGAAACCAATATTAAAAAATCAAGGTATCCCAATATTGGTCCCTCGGTGCGTATTCTTATTGGACCCATATTGAGCCCATTTTGAGCCCGACTGAGATAAATTTATTGCTAGAGAGAGTATTAGGAGAATTGAAAATTACTTAATAGTAAATTAACTTTTATTTCAAGTCATGACCTTAATCGATAGATTACAGCAATATCAAAAGAAAGAAAAAAAATCATTTTAAAAACAATATTTTTATTTTATAATATGAATTCATAAAACTATAGAACAGAACTGAATCTGTTATAAGATGACTGGTATCTCATTTAAATAGTCCACAATTTTAATTTTAGATTGCAACTGTATACATATCCATAAAGAATACTTCGAGGCACAGTTTTATAAATCTTCCTCAGTGTCTAAACACTGAATGACCATGCAATTAAACCAATTGAGACAGAGGTGGAGCGAGATAAAAAAAAGATATAAGAAGGGAATATGGCGGCAACCTCACGCTGCAACATACTTCCAAATTTTACAAAACGGTGGGATACTAGAAAGTTTATTAACTAAATAATTAGAATTTTGCAAAATATCGAATGACTCTCAGAAATTAAGTTTGGCAGATAAAGAGAATTCTAATTATGAATAGAATCTAATTAGAATTATTCTAATTATGAATAGAATCAAATTAGAATTATTCTAATTCTTAATAGAATTCTAATTATGTAGAGCTTTGAATGTTCGATTTATGTCTGACATATCTTTTATGTCGAAATTTAAAGGTACCTTTAGTTTGTCCACCCAAGTCAAAATTTTTGATGGTTTCCCATTGATGGACCAACATAATTTTGATGGTAACAATCAATAATTCTATCATGAATCATTATATTTTTTGATGGTAGCCAACATAAATAATCATCACCTCAATGTAGGAATTCGGACTGATTTATGATGGTCCAAGATAAAAATAGCAACTTGTTTAGATGATTTGTTCATGCTGAGCCATCGCAAATTTCCACGATAGTATCTTAGAAATCAAATGTTTGAATGATCATGAATAACCACCATCCCAATGCAGGAATTCAGACTGATTTATGATGTTCAAACATAAAAAACCCAAATTGTTCAGATGGTATATTCCTGAGAACTAACAACAAACCATCACGGAAATGTATAGTTGGAACCATCATGAACCATCACGGATCCTCACGGATTGTTGGTTCATGAGAGTCAAACTTCTCTTGATACTTAAATATCATAGCATTAAAGTAGCATTTTCCATCATGGAATGATAGAAGTTTGTTGGCATATGAAAAACCATGATCACGTAATGGAAAATGTTGGATGATAGTGACCATCAAATGATGTTGAACCATGAGGAAATGCACTGAAACCAAGGTAAACCATCAAAATTGTCTGATGGGACAATCAAGAATTTTGACTTGGGCAATATACGCAAAATCATATTAACACAAAATTTGATTTAAAAAAACCCAGCAATATAGCTGCAAGGAAATATATTCTAATTTGTTTTTAAAATATAGGAAATGTTATATTTTAGTTTAATATACTATTTTATTAATTATTTTAATATATATTTTATGAATTTGAAATCAGTGAACTTGTTCTACACACTAATAAATTTCTGTAAAACTACTGTAAATTTTTACGACCAGCTTCCTTCTTTGCAAAACAAAGTTCAGTTCCCGAAATTGCAATGACCTTATCAAAATGAAGAGAGTTTATTTTTAATAGATGCCTTTATTCAGTAGAATTTATCACCTCAAATCAGGTGTGTACACCCGTTTCTATAGTGACTTCATAATCAGGCTTCGAACACAGAAGTCCTGGCTACGATCCTAGTAGAGGCCGAAGGACGTCTCTCTTCCTCGACATTCTCACACATGGCAACATTGCCTTACTTCGCCTTATTCCACGGTTCATCCAGATTAGATAAACAAATTTACTACGTCTCAAACAATATCAAGCTTCGATCTGAAGATAAATTTAACAAGTAAAATGTTAATTTGCAGTCAATGGCCTCATATTTTTCGAGAAAAAAATTACGGGCACACCTATATTTTTATGGTTATGATAGCTTTACTGGCATGAATATATTTTTAAGGTTAGTGATTGGTACACTTTTTGCCATTCACTAATAGTAATCTAGCTTTGAAAGTTTTTAGAGTAATTGTGGAACATGAATTAACATTTAACTTACATGCATGCACTTCGGTAAACTTTCTTTTCTTCTAAAACAATTAACTTCTTTGTTACATAACCGAATAATATTCTTTAATTTAAATAATTTTTAATAAGGATTCTAATTTATTAAAATATTTAAATTTTTGTTCTCCTTCTTCCGCTCCTAATATCTATAATATCATATTTGGAACATGATATAATGGTTTAAAAAAGTTCTCAAGTTTCGAGAAAAATTTTAGAGTATATTTATAATTCTTATTATAATTTTTTGCTATTATAATTTTTTATTATTATAATTTTAGAATACATTTATAATAACAGCATTTCTTAGAGTACATTTGTAATAACTCATGATATAAATTAATATAAATTATTGCGAAAGATTTTTATAAATACTTAGAAAACTATTTTTTTCACCTCAAAAGGGTCAATTTTGGACTTTCATTCTGTTAACAGAGCCAATGTAATACACACATATATTCCTTTGAAATAGTTTCTAGATATTTATAAATAAAACTAATAATATAAATTTTAATACTAGCTTGCCCAAGAATGTCATTTTGAATGCTTTTTAAATTTAATTAGAAAAACAATGATGCATATAATGACACAATTTCCTTGAATTTTGTGACTCTTTGTACAATATATAATTTTTTTAATTGTTAATGTTTACTAATAACTTGTTATACAACTGTAAATAATGTAAAAAATTTTAAAAATTAATTTTCAACAAATTTTATTGCACAGTAGTTATTCTTTCACAATGCAGTCATTTTGACTGTTTTTGGGCAATATAGGTATATACTAAGTCTCAGTCTTTCTAGTGTTAAATAGGATGGTTATTGAATATCATCCTTAAGAAATGACTGAAATAGATAAGTTATATTATTGTTTAAAAGATTTTTAGAAAAAGCAATTTAGGGTTTTGATACATGTTCATAAATGCAACGCTAATATTTTAACAAAAAATAAAATAAAGTGAGTACTTTAAAGTTATATAACCATTAGTAACATAGTTTTTCAAGTATTTAAGTACTTTCTTATGTTATTATAAAATATTTCTAATGCAAAATGCCATTTTCTTTCAAGTGAAATATAGGATTGTCCAAAAATGTAACACGTGCAACACTGATCGTTTTTGTTCATAAATTTATTTTTAAAGATAATCTAGTGTTCAATAATTCAATAGAAAAAATTATTCCAGGGTTAATTTTATTAAGATAGAAACGAATGTTGGATAAAGCAATGATTATTTTGTGCATCTAACATAAATATCGATAGAATTTAGAATTTGCTGTGCTACTCACGTTGTTGTTTATACCTTTTGAGACGTTTCTTACGTTTTAAAGCCAGATAATTGTTTCATCAAATAATTGAAAAATTCTTTAATATATATTTGCAAAGAATCTACAGATAATATTCGCAAATGATGTCACACCGACGTCAAAATAAACAGAAAAGCATTTTAAAAACTTGCGGATGTTTATGTATGTGACGTAACTCAAACCATAAAACAGATACAAGTTCTAGTTTGAAATAGATTTTCTTGTTTACTTTTTTCTCACCTTCTATGGTTCTATTTTAGAAAACATTATATTCGACTCAAAACAATAAATGAGTTTAATCTGAAGATAGAGCCATTGGATTCTTTCCAATTTATATTTTAAATCAAAATTAGTACTTTCTCCAAAAGTTGCAAGCGCCAGGTTTTTCTTCCTTTCCTGCTTCTTCTTTTCTTTGCAATTTTATCCTTAACGACTTTTGGCAGGGATTTTAAATAATTTTTATTTTCTTACAGGCCTCCGTGAAAATTCGTTTCATTTTTTATAATTACTTATTCATATCTACCTCACGTATCTAAGTATAGCTTTTCATTAAAAGAAGCATATTCCTTTTCATCTAAATATTGACGAAAATTCGTTTCATGAAATTAAAAAAAAAAAAATTAAAAAATGCTTGGAGAAAAAAACACAAGATCAAGATATCGGGGCAAACTCGTCTTCGCATCTTTCAAACGAGGAAACTGTCTTTTAAATATAGAAATTATCAAAATACAGTCGGATCTCTATTTAACGAAGTCGCTAAATCCCGATAATAAGTTCGTTATGTGAAAAATTCGTTAAATAGAAAATCACCGTTTAAAACACTTAAACAACACAAAACAGATTTTAAATTCATAAACTCTAGGTATAATTAAAATAGTAATTGATGCACCTTTATCTTGTGAACTAGTATCTACTATTTATTTAATAAATCTTAACCACAAAAGAAATTTGCATGGAAGGCAAGAAGAGAGCAAAACACTATCCAGTGTTATACTATCATGCTACATACACTTTCAACTGAAAAAAAATGCTAAATTTATGTATAAAATTATAGCTGCATTTATTA